TCTCCGCGTGAGCGTTGGCGGATCCCACTCGTCTTCGATGTTGCGCGGATGTCCCCGTTCGTCTTTGGCGTCGGACGAGCCGTTCCCGCTTGTCTTCGATGTAACGGAGGTTGCTCCCCCTCTCTCTGATGACGCGCGAAATCTCCCGTCTCGTGCGCACTGATCCGTAGAGACCACCCGTCTCCTCTCTCCGATGGCACGCAAAGCTCTCCTGCACGGCTATTCCCTAACCGCGTGCATTCCTTCCCGTCCGCGTCCATTCGTCCCTGCTGTCGCTCAGGCGTTCCCCTGCGTTCGTCCCGTGGCTGCACTGATGGACGCGCTATCGCGGGCGACTCTACCCGTCAGCTTCCGTTAACGAGCGGGGCACAGATCAGCCCGTGCGTCGCTTCCCGCATCCCTCCTCACAGTCCACGAGTGCACGCGTTGGGGCGCATGACTACTCTTGCTCCCGTGCGTCTCCGAGTGAGCGTTGGCGGATCCCACTTGTCTTCGATGTTGCGCGGATGTCCCCGTTCGTCTTCGGCGTCGGACGAGCCGTTCCCGCTCGTCTTCGATGTAACGGAGGTTGCTCCCCCTCTCTCTGATGACGCGCGGAATCTCCCGTCTCGTGCGCACCGATCCGTAGAGACCACCCGTCTCCTCTCTCCGATGGCACGCAAAGCTCTCCTGCACGGCTATTCCCTTCTCTTCTTCTGGTGACATCCCCTTCTGTCCCGCTCACTAAGGTGTGAAAGCGCGCGCGATCTCCCCGCTCCCCCGTTGTCCCGTGCGCGAAGGCGCGCGAGGGTGCGTGGTGTTCCCTCCACCGCCGCTCGGATTCCACCTCGCAAGTGTGCAAAGGTACATGGTGGAGTGCGAAGATGCGCGGTGCTCTCTCCCACCACCGGGGTCCTCCCTTACGGGGTGTGCAATGCCGTGCTATGGCGCGCGAAGAGGCGCGGGTGAGCGCAGGTGTGCGCGGGCGCGCGGTGCCTTCTCGCCACCGGGGTCCCCTCTCGTCGTGCGCGCGTGTGCATAGGCACGCACGGGTGTGCACGGATGCACGCGAGTGTGTGCAGGTGCGCGCGAGCTCGCGCGGGTGTGCGCAGGTGCGCGCGAGTGTGTGCGGGTGTGCGCGAGCTCGCGCGGGTGTGCACAGGTGCGCGCGAGCGTGCGCTGAAGTGTGAGGGCGTGCGTGGGTGTGCGCGAGCGCACGCTACTCCTCCGCGGCTCACTCTCGTCGCGCGCGCGTGTACGCCGGTGCGCGCGGGTGTTGTCCAGCGCGTGAGATCTCCGTGCGCGCGTCCTTGGCCGCCCGTGATGTCCCCGTGCGTCCCCCTCCGCCGTGTCTTCCCTTGGTTCCTTCTCCAAGTCTCGTGTGCTTCCTGTCTCGTGTCCCTCCCGTCCCTGGCGCCTCTCCCTTCTGTCGAAGAATCCCGGTGCGTGTCGAGGTCTCGGGCGTCTCCCCCGTGGTCCCTCGTGCGCCTCCGTCTCTGCAAGTGAAGAATATCCTGAATCTGGGCCTGGTTCGGCTTAAATGTTACTGCCAGGCCCTCCTCGGAGTGTGAGCCTCGGCCCTCGTGTGTGCTGAGGCTGCCGACAACTTGCAGCGCCCCGGTACTGGGCCTGTGCCCAAGCCTGCTTGGGCCCCCGAAAAGCTCCCAGCGGAGAGGGCCTTCCCATGGGGAACTGGGCCTTCTGCAGCGGCCTGGTACCACGGCCAGTCCCGAGTCTGCCCCAGGCCTGCCTTGGCCTAGGCGGTCCCCACGCAGCAGTGGTACCACTCTTAGTGGAAAATCCAGGCGGGCCCCACAAGTGAAAATTGGACCCATCACTTAATTGAGCCTAGGCGGGCCCCGCATCCTAGCGGGACCGCCCCTTCGGAGGAAGACCCAACTGGTCCAATGGGCCCCTTGCCCGCAGTGCCGACCCGCGTCATGGTCGGTGAGTCGCGGCCGGATAAAGTAGGTTCCTCGATCGCAGCGTCGGCCCGCCTCATGCTCGGTGTGTCCTGGTCACGCAAATTAACGTCGAGCAAGGATACCGCCGCCCCGTTCTTCGGTGTGTCGTCCCGCCACATGGTCGGTAAATGTCGGCAACCCTGTTGGTCCCAGTGTTGACCTGCCTCATGGTCGATGAAGCCCGGCCAGGCAGAATACCGTCGAGTGAGGGTCTCGTTGCGTGCCCTTGGAAAGGAAGTAAAGGGCGGTGTAGTATTGGAGCCGCCCGACAGCGGTAGCAATGGTCTTCAGCGCTGGGCGCTAGTAGGAGCTAGAGTAGTACTGGAGAGAGAGAGAGATTGGGCGGAGGCCAGGGAGACTTACCTGCAGCGCCATGGCTCCAGCTTCGTCTTCGAGGTACCTGCAGCGCAGCGCCATCTTCACAGGTTAGTACCTGGGACATGAGAGAGAGAGAGAGAGAGAGAGAGAGAGAGAGAGAGAGAGAGAGAGAGAGA